ATACATAAAAGAAATCTTAAAAAATAAAAATACAATCTATTATTAACATTGTATCCACTCTATGAGGCAGTACACCACTAGAATGGATTCCTCCTGTCTAAGGGTGGGTACAGCATTCAGAGGTGCCTAGAGCCGAGATCTTAAGTAGTTTTTCTTTTTTAATAGATTTTTAAATTTTTATTTATTTATTTATTTATTTATTTATTCATTTATTTATTTATTTGAGACCAAGTTTCTCTAGATAACAACCCTGAGTGTCCTGGAACTCACTTTGTACATCAGGCTGGCCTCAAATTCACAGAGATCTACCTGCCTCTGCCTCCTTAGTGCTGGGATTAAAGGTGTGGGCCACTGTGCTGGCTTTATTTCTTAAATGGTGTGTGTGTGTGTGTGCATATATGTGTGTGTATGCATATGAGTGCACAGAAACCACTGGATCCCCTGGAGCCAGAAAAAGTAGGAATTTGTGAGTTGCTCAACACGGTATTGTGAACTGAACTTGGGTTCTCAGGAAGAACATAATCACTGAGTCATCTCTCCAGCCCCAGACCTTAAGAAATTTTATCTTTCATAAATGCAAACATAAAAAAATAGACCAATGGCATCTTCTCCTCCTCTACTGAGGAGCAGTGTCTTTCTGTACATGGACACTGCGTATACACACAAAGACAGAGTGGCCACTGTGTGATGAACTTTGTGTCAGAATCAAATTTGAAAAAAAAAGGATGAAATGAATGAGTATTCTGAAAGTGCTTGTTTTTCCAGCTTTCTGGATAATTGTGTCCCCTAACAAGATGTAATTCAGCCCCCACACAAGTGCAACACACCAGTGCCTTCTCCAGGATTTGCCTCCCCGCCCGTCTTACACAACAGTTTCCAACACAAACTACAGTCTTCATGGTTACAGCTTCTGAGATTTCAACCCTTGACTTTTTGGGGATTATGATTTGGGGGGACTTTTAAACTTCAGAGTTTTGACCCTTCAGGGTTCTAACACTAGGATTGTGGAGTTCGGGGTGGATGGTTACCGAGTTTAGGTAGCTGGAGTTCAGCTTCTTTTTGACTCCCTCAGTGCTAATGGAACCTCTGAGAGGAGATCAGCTACAGGGAAGTGTGGCTCTCTCATTTCTCAGGGAGGACAGTTAGTTACAGTTGTGCCAGTCTGATGTCTCATCACTGGGGCTAGATACCTGACATGATCAACCTATGGAAGGGATAGATTCATCTGCACTCACATTTTCAGAGGCCTCAAGCCATCATGGCTGGAGCAAAACAGCTCACCTCGCAACATCCAGGAAGCAGATAGACTGCTGAGCCACCTGGCTTTCTCCCCACACCTTCTATTACCATCCCCTAGGATAAGCCATCCACAGGTAGAGCCATGCTGTTAATCCTTAGTTAATTGAGTCTGGAAACACGTCCATAGACACACCCAGCAGCAAGCTTTATTAATCTAGGCGATTCTAAGTTCAGTCAAGTTAACAATCAAGAAATAATAACTAATATGAACAGCAATAAACACCTACCTCGCCCACCTCTCAGGGTTATCATGAGCCTCATAGAGAATAATATACATGCAGGTGTTTTCTAAATTCTGACTGTGCACTACACCTGTTTGCAGCCATAATTATCACAATCAGCAAAGTGCCAATTTCTGCCCCCTGTTACTCTGGGTGGGTTACCCTGCACTCTGCTATCTGCAGGTCAGTACAGAGAGGTCCATCACCACACGGTGATTTGACATTGCATCTTGTGAGGCAAGCCTCATGCGGAGCAGCCTCTTGTTACGGCTTGATGAATGCATTAGTTTTTAGAGGCAGACAAAAGGAGAGAGGAACAGACTGAATTGAGGTTTTATGTGTATTTCCCAGAGGAATACATAATTGAACCATAAATGCTAAACTGAGCCTTCTGAAATACTGATAAAGAGCCTCATTCTCAAATAGTCTCTGTCCTTCTTGCATAGCATCCCCGCTTCACATTGGAGGGTACGTGTGTTATATGGCATGAGTCTACTCTGGGGCACTCACGCACACGTGATCAGGGACTGGCGGGGAAAGAAGGTGGAAAGGCTTTCTGAAATGACTCCAATTGTGAATAATATTACCCAATACTGAATAATTCCGGCATCAGTCCACGTGATGAGTACCGTGGCATCGAGAAGCCAAGACTCCACTGTGAGGTGTCTGACGCAGACACAACTCTTCGCAAGAGACCACTTTCATAAATAATACTTACAATATACACAAGATACTGGCCATGCAATCAGCTTCTACTGTCTGTTCAGCTGAAAGCTGAGTACAGCTCAGGATGTAATGTTCTCAGAGCCTTTCATGTGGTATTCTAATAGTGAGAAGGACCTAAAGGGTCCTTCTGTTCTGTCTTCAGGGTAAAACGTATAGGGGTAGAGTCCATATTAATCTTCCAACAGGGAACATACTCAAGGCTATCCTGAAGTCGTCTACCCTGGTATCAAACCTAACATTCATCTTCAGTGTTTCGAGGATCCAAACAAAGACATGGTTATCTCTGAGATAAAAGAGATGGTTGGAATCACTCCCAGAAGATCCTTGGATCCTGTTTCACATGATCTATTGCCAGGATGAAAATTGCCTCTTTCAATAACACCTTATCAGACCCCTATTGTGTAACAGGTGCTCTCCTGCATACAGCACACTACACAGCACACAACATCTGTTTTCACATTCGTTCCCACAACTTTACCTGCTAAGATATTTTATTTGCTATTTATTGTTGTCATGACAAAATAGCTAACAAAAACAACTTCAGAGGGAAAAACTGACTTCGGTTCCTGCTTCTAATTGATTTTAGTCCATGGCGACAGGGAAGGCATGGCGGTGGAGTGACACTGTTGGCAGGCATGTGAGCAGGCTAGTTGCATCATGGCAGACCAGGCAACAAAGAACGTGACAGGACTGGACCAGGGATAATGTGCCTCTAAGAGCCTGTCTCCTGTGACCTGCCTCTTCCTACCTCCTAAAACCTCCCAAACAATGCCCCTTAGCCAGAGAACAAGTGCTCAAACACAAAGCCAGTTGGACATCTGTAAGACAGATGAAGAAATCCGTCTTTATAAGAAGTTATGTAAAACTTCTTTTTGGACTTGCCAAAGTCCAAAGAGAAGTTCTAACCAGTCTATACTACAGGTACCATACTGTATGTCACTTGTCATACTTGGCTCCCATTATGTGGAGAAACAGACATGGATGTGGGAAGGAATGGAGTAGAGAAGCTTATTTGTGTAAAAAGAAAAAGAAGGAGACCCTAGGCCTAGGTTCTAGAGTAAGAGGTATATCTCGTTCATTTGACAAGGTGAGGCATGCAACGCAATCATTCGTAGGTCCTGCTGGCTTGGTATAGAACACAGCATGGCTGCTTCAAGTAGGAGGAAGAGACCAAACTCCCTCCTATCAGTAGCTCCCTCTGCTTTGCGGGAGAACTCAGGGAGCCTGGCTCTGGGCCAGCCTGGCCTGGGTCTGGAAGAGATGACTGTGACGTTATTGTTTGTGATGATGGCATAGCTTACCCATCTTCCTATCTGAGGAAAGAAGAGACCTGCACACCTCCTCCCCCTTTTATGTGTCCCACAGGTAAGCACACGCGCACACACACACACATACACATGCATGCATGCCCATGCACACATATATGTACACACACTATAAAAATAGGCTCCTAAACTAGAGGTTAATCAATAAAGGGAACTAGAGGTTAATCAATAAAAGAAACCCTACCTGTGATAACCAAAGCCCTCTAGCATCTACACACTCTCTTTTACCCACTTCCTAGGGAGCAGCAATTTGACAAGCAGAGAACCATCTTTTGCTGGCATTTTGCTCCTTCCTAAGGACAAGCGACTCCATGGGGTTAAGCTAACTAGCTCTTCTGGGCAAGGGGCTTTTTGCCAACCATTTACTGAGCCAGATGGACTTTCAAATCCCGGGCAAAGGGACAATTCCACAGAGGGCATTGTACACTAATCCCAGCCCCTTCATTTTGCAGCGGAGGGGGCAGGGTACTCAGCTTCCGTTTGAGACACGTGATTGGGAAAGGATGAATTGCTAGAGGAAGCTGCGGGCCAGTGCTGGACAGGGTCTTCCTAACCCATGGAGCTGTCTTCCTACCTGTTTGCCAGGCCAGGTTCATACTATCACAGTACAGAGCTGATCCCAATGAGATATAGGTGCCGAGTTCATGAGACAGACATTTTGAGAAAAGAAAGACACCTGGCTTGGTAGAAGAAGCTAACGTCTGGGGACCAAAGCCACTCCATCTTGCAGGTCATCAGCATCTCTGTAAACAGAGACAGCCACGATCACCCTAATGAAATCCCAGCTCCGCGCTGCTTCTGTGTAAAGATGTCTCATTTAGTAACAATGGGCCATAAATTCATAAGTGCCATTAAGTTTATGGGGCTTCTCCCAGTCAGAGACCCTTTGAGCTATCGATTTTATTTTTAACAACCTCTCTGTGACCTTTGAAAGCACGGTAGTCAGTTTGGGTCTGTGATGAAGCAGTTCCTGATGCTGTCTTCCTTCAGCCCAGGCCTGCAGTGAAGGCAAAAGGACAACGAGAAGCAAGTATGAGGTCAGGAGACATTTTATTTCTTGTCTTGTCTGGATCAAAGTCAATGCATTGTCCGGGGTCTTGGGGTTTTGTAGACTGTGATGTTTATGTTATATCTGTCTTCATTCAGATGGTACATCCCAAAGATTTTTCTCCTAATTGCTAAAAACACAGATAGCCCCTAGGATACTTCTGCTACTATGCCAGGTGGAGACTCTGCAAAGGATACGTGACAGCTGTTGAAGCATTAGCTGCTTTATAAGACTTGACCTTCTTCTCCTGAGACTAGCCACGAGTCATACCCTGGGCGGAGAATGGGCGGCACATAATTGGGATTCCATGCTTGATAGCACATCCTCCATGCCATCATTTTGGCTACATTTCGCAGCCCATGGCCTTTGTCTCTGTTTCAGTGAAATCCCAGCTGTAGCAACGTGGAACTGAGACTTCAGGGCTAAAGTTGGTTGAGGAGAAATTCTTGGAAACTGAAGAACATCTGAACTGGGGACTTCATGATGCTCCTGAATGTAGAGAGAATGCCTGGAAGCCTGTAAGTTGACTTTATCAACCACCCCTCCGTGACATTTTCAGAGCTCCTGACGATGGTGGCAGGCATCCATTAGAAGCTCCAGTGCCCAGAAAAGGGCTGAGAAAGATCTAAATGAGCATTGCAAATCCCAGTACTTAGGAGGCTGAAGCAAAAGGCCAGTCTGGGCTACATAGCGAGAGACCCATCTAAACAAATAAATGTCAGCGTATCCAGTCTGTGACCATGAGCCACGTATGACCCAAGATGTGATCTGGCACAAAGCCAGTAACTAGCAGCGTGCCTTATACACAGCACGCACCAGTAAACAAGCTGAACAAGACAGACAGTAGTATCTCAATCTATTGAAACAAAGACTCCTAGATTCCAAATTCAGTAGTTTTGCCCATCATACAGATTCCACCCAGAGGTAAAGGTGAGGTCCGAAGCTAGGTTCACCTGCCTGCAAAACCCCTCCTCCAACCAGAATCAGATGCCACCCTATGTTCTAAGGTAGGGCTTTCACAAATCATGTATGAGAAGCTGGGGTCTTGGGGAGATGACTCACTGGGGAATATACTTTCTGCACACGTATGAAAATCTAAATTTAGATCCCCAGAATTCAAGGAAGCCTGCCTATAATCCCAGTGTTCCTATCATAATGAGAACGGACCCAGGAATAAGAGCATCCATAGAAGCACACAGGCCAGCCAGCCTCGTGTAGGCAGCAACAATCCACGGAGAGATCCAGAGGTGTCCTCTGACTTCCATGGATGCACTGGGAAATAATTCCTCTCTTCCACATGTGTGTGCACGTGCACAAGAAATCTGGAACCTTCCCCAGAGACTTTCACAGATTTTGGAGTACCCTTGTGTCAAGCACTTTCAATAATTTTAGTGCAGGTGGACCACAGGTCACACTCGGGGAAAATGTTGTTCCAGAGAATCTCGACAGTGGTTAACATCTTTATCCAGTCACCCCAACCCTAGGATATAGGTTTATTTGCAGAGGGATTTTACATCCTCCTATCCTGATCATATCTGTTATTGTCTGTATTTCAGGTACCTGGAATATCAGTCTTGAGGACTAGGAGAGAGATGGTCTGCTACAGTGGTCACTAATTCTCACTGTAGACAGTGGACCTTGAACGGCTTTGATGTGCCAACCAATCGATCAAGGCTCAGTTCTTCTACCTGACTTCTTTATCAACACCTGTAGTCTGAGATACCTCTACTGCAAATAACCGCAGGGCTGAGTATCAGGGAACAACGACCCACCCTGTAGTCCAGAGCCCACCAAATTCTGAAAGTGTCCGGTTCTGGGCTAGGGCAGTCGCCTGCAGGGCTAGGATAGCCATCTATACCGCTTTTCATTACTTCCCATGAAAATGACCATGAAGACTTTGGTTCCCACTTGACACTCCTTCCTTCGGCCTCTTTACCCTTACTCTTCCTAACCTACTGTTCCCAGGAAACCCTACAGTGTGGCACGCTGCCTCCTCTTGGTAACTGTAACAAAACATCTTTTCCTTCCTTTGCTGTCTCCTCCCTTCCTCTCCACTTCCTTCTTTTTCTTTTTTCCTTCCATTTTTTTCTGTCCTAATAGGATCTCACTATATAGCCTAGGCTGGCCTGGAACTTGGGAGCTTCCTGCCCTAAGCCGTAGAGTGCTGAAGTTACAGACACAGCCACCATGTCTGGCACAGCCCATCCTTTCAAAGGCAGTTTAATTTCTGCTCTATTGACCTCCCCATACCTGCATGAGAGAAAAAATTCCATGAACACTGTAAAAGAATTTCTTACCAAGTGCCTGATTCTTCTAAATCTTATCAGTCATCCCTCCACTTGTGTGTAAATCAAGGATTTAAATCCCAAATATTCTCTGAAAAAAATCACTGAAAGAACACTTTTATCACAATAGGATGAAATAGATAGGTGCTGTGGTAGAGAAGCAGCTGAATGCTTGTTCCTGCTGTGTTTGCTGGCATACTGTTGTCCCTTCTTTGTGCCACCATACCCCAAAGCAGATGGCATGTGGAAGGAGCCCAGCACACACTTCACAGGGCACCAAGGGTAGCTTGGGGCAGTTGCGCTTTCTGTCCAACCAAAGCCTCATGCCATCATTCAACACCCTCTGCACAAGGTTCTGACACTTTGTGGGGACCAGGCTCCCTCGTCAGAAAGCCTTAGAAAGGCAAAGGCAGAGAGATTGAACAAGGGCTCAGAAGCTCACCCTTTGAGAGCTTGCCTTGCAACTCAGTGCCCCTGGGTATGCTGGGAAAACAGACTGCCTCACACAATGGCTCGGAAAGCATAGCAGCCAGTGGAACAGAGTGAGCTGTGGGTAGCTATCGCTCTCTCTCTCCATCTATTCATTTGTGCTCACTGTCCTGTGAAAACCCGCTCTCTGTGAAATTGGTGGAGTCATGATTTTGGGGATGGACCATCTGCCTGGTTCCAAATGGAATTCATGAACTTGGAGAAATTTGCATGAACTGTTCATTGCAGCAAGAGGAATTCATTCATTCCACAGCTCCGAGGTTTTATACTTTTTCTGGACCACAGCCTGCATGAAGGGTGTCAGACCTTTCCATTAGTGGTGCGGCTCCTTTCATTTTATTTTGTTTTCTTCTTTCCAAATCCATTGCCTTCGACCTTAATATAATCAGCAGCAAATCCATTGTGCCTTGGTCTTCCTGAAGCTCTCCGTCCTATTTCAAATCAAAAACCTTCTTCCTCTGAGGGCCGTGTTGTAGTACATTTGTATTTTACATTGGTAGACATGAAAATAAATCAAAATGGCATGCTATTCTATCTATTTGCAAAGAAAGAAAACCTAATTAGGTAAACAGGGGAATGGGAATGCTGATTAATTTAATTATTTGTTTAGCCGCGGGCCAAACACAAAGCTTTTTGTGGTTTTGAATCCTGGAAACAAAAGTATCTTTGCACTGTACTGGCTCACAGTTTCCTTAGCAGAGAGAACATGTGGTCAGTTGTGATAATTCAGTTGCTTAGGGTGCCTCAAAATTTGTTCATATGAATATCAAGTCTATTGACATGAACGATTCGATTAAATTTTTATGCGTTTTCAACACACGTTATGGAAAAACTTCTTCTTAAAAGAAATCAGTTTTTAGTGATTTGCAACTTGGCAAGGCCTGTAATCCAAGCTACGTGGGGGCTAAGGAGGACGATATCAGATTGAAAACCTGCCTGCCTAAGCAATTTACAGAACAATATCCTGTCTCTAAAATAGCAACCACGGAAAGGGATGGGGGCAATAGTGCCAGAGTAGGTACCAGCATGCACAAGGACCTAGGCTCAAGCTACAGTAACAGACTTATATTGTATACTTCATAACAGGAAAAAGGGGTTATCTCAAATGAATACCATGTGGCAGAATTTGCAGGTAGAGAGATTTTTTTTTTTCCCAGTGAGTTAATGGGTTGATGTTTATTTTCAGGTCTATTTTTTTGAGAAAAGTTTTTCAGTTTTTCTTAACCAGGGTATGCAATAACACAGGAAAGAAAACATATCTTCAAAATCCATTCCTCTGGGATCCCCTCTGAGAGCTCATTTATATGTCTTTAAAACCACGAGTGAGCACCCAGAGAGACAAGCGCCTACAGCCTGAGGTGTTGGTGCACTCCTGTGATCCCAGCACGTGGGAGGCTGAGGCAGGAGAACAGAGAGTTGAAGGGCAGCCTGGGCTATGTAGCAAGATTCCCATCTCTAAAACTAAAACAAAACCAAGAAACAAATGTCGCTGTTGGTCTGTCTGAGTGTGGGAGAGCCACAGGCCTGTCTTCACCAGCGAGGAGCCAGGATGTTACAAAGGGCTCCTCTATTTTGTGTTTAGTTTCTTGATTTCTTAGGTGGGACTTGGAGGTCCCCAACACTACCAGCTTCAGGATGATGTGACTGTATGACTCCAGATGGTTATGGTGTGTATGTGAATGCTGGTAATAAACCATTTCTGTTTGCCTGGAATTGAGGCAGCTCCTCGGGTCTTGGGAATTTTAGCTAACCCCGAGGAAATTCAAGGCGAACTGGGAGCAGTTGGTTTGGAGTGGTCATGCAGTTTTGGGGTGAGAGACATTCTGAACCATACAATGTCCTATGGGTCTCAAGATGTTGGTGTAACGAGAGTAAAGAGACTGCAGACCAGTAAAGCATTTTGCACACAATCCAGCACACCAATGCAAAGTAATGTGAGCTAATTGCTACTGTTTTCCTCTTGAGCTTCCTCGGCTCTCTTTGTATTGGTGGCAATTTTGTGTGGATGGAAACTCTTAAATGATGTACTCAGTAAACTGGTTCTTTATGGAATCCAGAATGTTCAGTAAGTCTGCTGGCCTGAAGGACTGGGGCAAACACCCACCATGACTCATTGACCTCAGTTTACCTCTGCTGGAAATAAGCATAAAATCAGAAAGCCTTTTTCACTCAGAGATGACCATAATTTGTTTACACACCACATAGATGTCAGTCACTTGCCCGCAATAGCTAATCTAAGCAAAAGTACTACTACATAGGCCACATTATAAAAGTGGAAGAGGAAACCAAGACTAAGAATTTCTTTTGAATGCCTAGGTTACCATGGTTTCTGTTGGATAGTGAAAGGGGAGGTGGGGGTTGTTAGCCATTTACAAGGGAGAAATAGGATTCCTCTATGTTTATAAAGTCCCCTTGGTGTCTGGAAGGACAATAGGAGCTATGGAGGCTAACCGTCTGGGATGCAAATGCATCTGACTTTTCCTTACACTAATGACCTTATCTATGAAAAGGGGAAAGTAATTTGGTCCCTGTGAAAAGATTTGCTGAGATGATTGAAAAGGAAAATCAAAGACTTGGCAAACCAATCTCAGTTGGGTGTTCGGGAAGTCACATTACATAAGTGTACAAGCCTGCTCAGGGCCCCTCCCTGTCCATTCTGCCAGGAGGAAGTACGCCTTGGTTAGCCCTGGACCCGATGCAACCTATAGCTAAGATCCATTCACTTGTCTTCCTAGGGTAATCATAATAGAGTAATCATAATAAATTCATTTATTTATCCAGTGTGTGTGTGTGTGTGTGTGTGTGTGTGTGTGTGTGTGTGCGTGACAGAGAGAGAGAGGGAGACAGAGAGAGAGAGAGAGAGACAGAGAGAGAGACAGAGACAGACAGACAGACAGAGACAGACAGAGACAGAGAGAGACAGAGAGAATGAACCTGGGATCCAGGTCAGGTCTTTAGGCCTGCAATCAAGTGCTTCTAGCCACTGAGCCATCTTGTCGACTTTAGTGAGTTTCTATTAAACCCCATGTTCATTTATCCACACATCACTCCATCCCTTCTCTTCTGAAACTTTCCCAGACACCTGCTAGGAAGGCAACCTGAGAAGCAGACCTAATGGTAGATGTTTGGGTTATAGGACTAGAGCCTTGTGATTGGGTGACTGTGACTGTCTTTCTCTTGGGGGTGGGATCAGTTATCTCTGGAATCGGCTGTTATAAACGTGTTTGGTTTCCTGGGCTCTCCCTTGCCTCCCTTTCTGTAACTCTACTGTAACACATGTCTACTTCCTTTTGGCTATCCACCATGAATCAAATATAGGTCTTGTGCTCTTGGGTTTCCAAGCTCCCAGAACTATGAGCCCCAGTAAACAAACCTCTTTTCTTTGTAAATTACTCAGCTTCCAGTAGTCTCCTATAGCAAGAAACAGATGAAGACACCATCTATCTGCCACCTACCTGCCTGTCTGACTATCATCTATGTATCCATCCTAGGTTGCCTTGTGATGTACACCACATCTCTTTGCACCGAGAGGAAGGGATGGTGTTCTGATGGATGTTTGAGTCCCCTCTACAGTTGCCAGATCTTGCATCAGCACCGTGGGTGTTAGGGAAAGCCACATCCTTCCAGACTTTGAGGATAACAACTCATCCTTGGAACATTTTGATCAAAGAGCACAGCAAAAACTTGAATGCAGTTTCCTTCCTGCAGACCTTCCCTAATCAGCCTCCACACATTCTCTTATGAGAATTCTTTGCATAGCTGAAGATAGTTGTTATGACCATCTTTCTTGTCTTTTGTCCTGGATAAATATCTCCAGTTCCATCCTAATAAAAAATCAAATTTTCTCCTTTAAACACAATGTTCCAAGTTGCTAATGTTACCCCTGAGTACAGTGACGAGAGGCATGTGACCCTTTCTCATTTCTTTGTGTGTGCACATGTGTACATACACATCTGGGTAGATACAAATGCACATGTGTGCATACACATCTGGGTGGATGCAAATGCACGTGTGTAAACGGGCACGTGGAAGCCAGAGTTTATCTCTGAGTGCTCGCCTGGGTATCATTCTCTACCTATACTTTTGGGGTTTCTCACTGAATCTGGAGGTCTCACTGAGTGGCTGAACTGGCTTCTATCAAGCCCCCGTGACCCCCTCATATGTCTCCCCAGAACTGGGATTACAGGCGCACGCTATTACACTCAGCCTTCACCATGGGCATTGGAAACTGAACTTGGGTCCTCATGCTCCCATGGCAAGCACTTTGCTGAGCCATCTCCCCAGCTCAGCCATGAGACTCTGATAAGACCTTCTTCTGTCGTGTTCATAAACTGATGGCTTGCAGGGAGCTAGAGAGCATCGTTCTTTTTAATGGTTTCAGCTGTGTGTGGACACCTCATGGCTTACCATCAGTGAAGTCTTCCATGCTCCCTAGCTGCTGACCACATACACATCTCTTTTGCTCATTCTGCCCTCCAGCCTGCAGCAGTTCCTTCTAGAGATTCATTCTGTCACTAGCAGATTACCTACTCTGTCTGACTTTGTGTCCTCTGCCTGATAATGTCACCAGACAGGCAAGTGATCCCATGAGATGGTCACTCTGACTGCTACTTCTGAAACTAGTACATTTGAAAGGACCCTGAAGATGGAGGAGGAGGCCGGCTAGGAGAGAAGATAGTGGGCAGTGAACATGACGGTCATTGGGCTTACCTGGAAATCTGCTGAACTCCCTGTGTGCATGGCCCTAGGTAGGTATTTTGTAAGTTTCTATTTTGCTCCATGCTGTTGTAGGAGCCCACTTGTTCATTCCTGGTTGTCAGACTCAAAATAACCACACAGAAAGTGTATTAATTAAATCACTGCTGGGCCAATCACCTAAGAGTATTGCTAAATAGCTCCTACATCTAGAAGTAACCCATTTTTATTATTTTATATCTTACCATGAGGCTCGTGGCCTACCAGCAAGGTTCCAGCTGGCAGCTGGCCTCTTTCCCCTCTGGTAGCTACATGGCGTCTCTGTGACTCCACTTTCTTTCTCCCAGCACTCAGTTTAGTTGTCCCCACCTAGCTCTACTCTTTTGCCCTACCACAGGCCAATGCAGATTCTTTATTCTTTAATCAATAAAAGCAGCACATATACAAAAGGACTTGCCACACCACAGGGCTATGAAGTAGGCACTGTCCTTATGTGTCTGAGATCTCAGTATGCGCCCCACCTTGCTCCCCTCATTCAGCAAGCCCACCCCCTAGCTTCTCTTTGGCTGTGCGCTCATCTCTCCTAAGGGCTATCTCTGGGCTGGGCTGTTTGACTCACAAGGATCCAGCTGTATGTGGGGCTTCCTTCTATCCCACCATCCTCACTGCTCCTTTCCTGTTTGGAGTGTGCAATCTTGGGTTTCCCTCATTCCGGGTTTCAGTTCACCCTCAGTGGCTCTCCAGGGCTTCACCTGACCTCATACCTCACACAGCTGCCCCTGACCTCCTGCTTTGTTGATGCCTTCCTCTGAGCACATCCTTCTACTCTGTCTTCAGGGTCTGCTTTTAGGATGTTTCCAGAAGGTACAAATTTTCACATGGGAAAGGGAGCAGGGAGAGTCTTCTTCTAGGAAAGATCACTATCCCAGCTCTCATGGCTCACATAGCAAGGTCAAGACACAGAGCAGGAGTGGCTGAGGGTGGGGCTGCTGTAATTGCCACACTAACCCTATGCAGTGACATCAAAGGCAAGATGAACCTGTGGTCTTACCACAGACCTGGAAGGAAATCCTAACCGAGGAAGAAGGTAGTGGTGGCTCGTTCTATGGCCAGGGTCTTGTCAATGCCGCATCAAAGCCCCTTTCTTGGAAAACCCCTAGCACTCGGAATCTGCTCTCTCTCACAGCTGATCTTGCTGTCATAGTTTGCTTCCAGTGTCACCTATTTCCCACAGACTCAGATGCTGACTCTCTGGAGGGTATTTCCATGGGAGAGGGAAGGGCGTCTAATGTGCTCGCTGCTGGCCAGCTTCCCATTCATTGTCCACTGTTTCTCATGGGGCTGGGCAGCCAGCCCCATGTGTACACGGTAGAGGTCACTTATCAGCACCATTTCCCACACAGAACTGGCTGGTCCCGGGTTGTGCTGTCACCTGCTGCAGGAGAACAAAGTCCCCCTCTCTCATCTTCTTTCCCAGAATGCTGGGAATCGGGCCAGCTTCATTCTGTGTTTTCAAGCATGCTAGTTTCGGTGGCAGCTTTTATGGTGATTATCTCACTACAGCCCTGGCCTCAAGACACCTGATTTATTGTGGATGAAAAAAGTTCACCCTTTCAACCATTACCAAAAAAAAGAAGGCATAGTTTTACTGGAATGTTTGGTTTCACTCCTGGGAAAATATCTCCTTTGCCCCCTGGGTGTGCCATTGGTCACAGTGTGAATTGATTGGATGGGACCAGCCTACTTCAGGGAGACAGGACTCATAGTTCAGATACCCAGGTGTTTTCTAGAACTCGTTTTGTGTTGTGTTCCTAAGATCGTGGATTCAGTCCCTGCACCCACAAGTTCCTAATTGCTTTGTAAGACATAGACTCTTCCATATAAATAAGTCTAGTTTTACCCTAAGAGAGCAAGGGCGACATTCTTAGGGAGGGAGGGAACAGTACAAATGTCTCTGGAATGGGTCGTGGTGCGGTGACTATGTGACAGCCAGTAAGCAGAAAATAGCAACGCTTTGCTGGCTACGGGAAATATTTATAGCAGAGACCCATGGATGACTGTAGAGGAAAAGCTTTCCGAGTAGTCGTGGGGGAAGAGGCTCGAAGGTGGCTGCTCTTGTCCCCACCTGAGGCCTGGAAGCTGCAGGCTCGCTAAGAAAGGACATTTGTGAGAGTCACAGGTCATGTGCAAGTCCCAGTTCCTAGAGCGCAGCCTCGCACGAATGGAAAAGGCAGGCAGTGAGAAGAAGATGGCAGAGTAAGGTGTTTAGGAGCTTGTCGGATACATTTGTCATTGCTGTGGCAGAATCCCAGGAGGAAGGGCCACACGCTCCTGAGTGGGGGCTGAGAACTTGAGGACACCACTGTCTGCACGTGGGTGATGTGCAGGTGGCATGGTGAAGGTGCAGCTTTGCAGGGGCCCGAGAAGGACTAGGACAGGAACTGTAGAACCTGGTCAAGGAAAATGGGATGGGGTTAGAGTTGAGGGCCTCACCTGAAGCTTCAGCAATGGCCTAGGGAGCAAGGGCTAGTTGTTCGCATGGGAACCACCCTGCCAATGAGGCATCCCCACCACTCGAAATCCTTTCATTTTATTAACTGTGTCGAGCATAGCCCACAGTCTGGGGCCAGCACTTTGTGATGCATCCTTCGGTTGGTGTGAATTCCTAAACTTCCTTATTATTTTTCCCATTGCTGGGACTGAACAGCAGGCAAGACAGAACTTGAGGGCTGACTGAGCTTCCAGTTGAGGAGGACACAGCCCATTACTGTGGGAAAAGCATGATAAGTGGGCCTCTGTGGGTCGCCACAGGGCTGTGTTCAAGACATCAAGTCTTGTTATATCTCAACAAACTAGGAAACAGAGAGCCTGGTTCAGAAGTGAGTCCACTGTCTGTAACCCTTCAAAACCTACTGCCTCCTCTGCTGAGCTGATTTCTCCAACTAAGTACACCACCTAAAGGCTCCACAGCCTCCTTAAGCAGCACTGTTAGCCATGAGTTCAAACACAGGAACCTCCTGGAGCATTTCCTAGACAAACCATACCAGTTTCACATTTCATTAAG